AAAAGTTAATACTCTGTTAACATATTACCGGGAGTTGGCCTTCACTGCAAAACAAAGCCTATTTGGACTTACGGCACACCATTATGGGGAACTGCAAGTACATCCAATATAAAAATGTTGCAGATATTCCAAAATAAAGTACTTCACGCTATAGTCAATGCACTGTGGTACGTCCCAAACAGACTACTACATGCCGATCTAGGCATACTCGTACTCACAGTACGGGAAGAAACTACAAACATGAGTCGCAAATATAAAGGCAAGATAACAGTACATCCAAATGAACTGGCAACTACATTATTAAACGACGCAGACTCAGAAGGAATAAGCCAACCGACCTAACGACGCGCTTCACAGAAATGTAATACATATTATAATAAAGTTACACTCGAAATATGATTCCTAGAGAATGCTCACTGGAGCATTACTCTCACTGACATGTTCTCTTATTAGTATTTAAGCCTTACATTAAGTATTTCACAAGATGTACTTATAGTCCTTAATATGGACCGATTGTACAAACAATCGGGGATACAAAAAAGAAAGAAATGGTCAGGGTATCCCCCCACAATCCATCATATGGAACCCGAAAATTCGTTTTCGTGTTGACAAGAGCATGCAAATTCATCATACTCTGAATCACTTGAATCCAGTCCATATATTCTCATCCTGTTTCTTTCTTATTGTAATGGCGCAAGGGTTATGTACAAGTAGATATGTTTTTTTTGGGTAAATTTGGAATAAGTGTATCTAGACTTTAAGATTAAGAAACAGAAATGATGAAACGTACCAGGAAGCTTGGGTTTGCAAAGAAGTGTAACAGGCTATAGCTTAGTAATCAGAATGCTAGCACGACAGGTAATAACGCTGACATTGAGGAAGAAGATATAGGAAGTAGGTCATAAACACTATGGCATGAGGAAAACGCTGAGTCGGAGAAGGCGGTAGACCTGAAAGAGCCAACCCCCATTCGATAAACAGCCAATGAGTGGGCCACACCGACCCAAAATACGTCAGAATGGGCGGGCCAATACACCCCGGAACCCAACGAGTCACCAAAAAAAGAGGGTACATAAACTCGAGAAATGAATCAAAAAAACTTTTAATATTATTAATTGACAAAGAGTTAAGCCGTAGGCTATCGCCGAGAGAGTGATGGCAATGAGTAGGAGTTGGTTGGTGATGGCGAGCGTCTGTTTCCTCAGCTCAAGTAAGTGTACTAACTTCATATAACCATGAACATTAAGTGTGATAATATTAAAGTGCAAACCCCAGGGAGAGAAAGTGAAAACTAGATGGACTAGGTTTACTGAGAGAGATAGATAGAGGTATTAGGTACCCAACACCAGGGTGACAGGAGATAGAACTAATGTGTGTACTACAGGGTCATAACCAAATGTAATGCAATCCGACAAAGGTCGGCAAAGTGTGTATATTATGTATACAGCGACAGAGGTGAATAGAGTAGGATAGAACTGCGCTGTGATATTAATTAAACCTAGCATTCCCTCAAGTGTTACCCTCCTCCCTGACGACTCCAGCCCTCCCGAAGCTTCGGAGAACTGCGAGTTAAAGCCAGGACTAGTGACGTAAGCGATCGATAAGTTTGCTTGAGTTTTCTTGACAGAACAAGATGGTGGCAGCATACTAAACCGGGTGACAGAGCGGGATACCTTTAGGCTCCCGACACCACGGCGTAACAGTGGTGGCAGCGGTGGGATAACTCCACGCCCCCTGCCACCACGGCGTAACAGTGGTGACAGCGGTGAGACAACCAATCCACCCCTGTCGCAGGGGCGTAACACTTGTGCATTTTAATATTAGCCTTTCATGTGCTTCTAGATCTTAAAAGTTGTCCCTTCCCTTCAGATTTTATTTTTACACATTTCATATGCATTTATTTCCACCATACGTGCTCTGGCCGATCGCAGTAGCCGCGCGGTCTAAGGCATGGTCGGTCTGGGCTCGTCTGAAAGCTGGGATCGTGGGTTAGAATCCCACTCAAAGCATGGATATTTGTTTGCGTTTATTCTGTTTGCATTGTTCTGTGTGTAGGCATAGCCCCTTGCGATGGGCTGACCATCCTTCCGAGGACTCCTACTCTGTACAAGATTGAGAAACTGAAAAGCGGCCAAAGTCCAACCAAAGGACTGTAGAGATACAGATAGATAGGCAGACAGACGGACGGATAGATAAGAGTTCTATGCCCGGCTCAGGTCATGCTTGATTTGATTATCCTAATAACGGGCCTATTCGGTGAAGGGAACAAACCATAAAGGTCGTTACATGTAATTTTCTCGATCCTTCTGTTATTTCCCGGTTCTTGGGTGCAAAGAATGTTCTCAGAACTCTGAGGATTAGAAAGAAAAAAGAAAACACTGGAACATGACTGCCTTTATTAGCTTCCACATCGGGATGTGCCCCGTGAACTTCACTCCACTTTCACGAAATCGCATATGAAACAGCAGCGGTCACAACAGCGTAGACGCCAACATCATGCAGTGGACAGAACTTGAGCAAGCCCTCAAGCCGGATTAAGAACGAATCATTTTAAACGCTAAGGTCTGTTTGCGAGAGGCGTCCGATGTACCAAACGTGGCGTAATTGCGTCCCTGAAGGGGTGAGACCTGCAATGATTAGCTCAGCCTCGTAACATATAAGTTCATTACCAAGACTTGATTGGCACACAGGCGATGTGCGCTCAGCATTCTAATTAATAAAGCCATGAGGATGCTCTGAGCTTCGGTTACTGTGTACATACGCTGGGAGTAATTGATAACAACTTGATGGCAACTCCGACACGTGGATGTCAAGAATGGATGTGAGCTGAAGAAGGAATGTGTAATGTCTTCCTAACTGCTGAATTGCTGTACATCTAATTCACTAATTTAATGGAGAAGAATTTCTCCAGAAGGACTATTCTCCAGTTACTCCAGACATCCACAGCCTTTTACGGAAACCTAAAGTTCATATCCTGCTTACAACAGTCCGCCAATGGAAAACAACCTGAATTGTATACATTGATGCTAATAAAACATGGGAAAGTTGGGAAGGCTAAGTTAAAAAAGTACAGGGCTATGGTACATTTATTCGAATGTAAAAAGAAAAGTATCATTCCAGACTTAATTCCTAGAGCAATGACTTCCCGACAAGGCGATCAATCAGTTCGCAAAGGCTACAAATTTCACTGCACAGAGCAGTACGTGGAGATACTAGATGTGTGCGCTGTATTGGGAATGTTTTAAAGAGTGCACTGAAATTCCAGGTTGTTCTAATAAAGGTGCAGCAAAACCTACAAACTACTATACAGGAGAATATGAATACTGTAGCACGATAAATGGAATTAGAAAAAGCAAGCTCTAAAACAACACATTTGTAGGGGACACAGAGGCTAGTTTGTACATTCTGACTGAAACTCAACCACCAATAGCAGTGGCTCCACCAGCTAACAGGTGGAAGCCATGTTAGGCCTGTTTATCCTCACTCGATAATCACTATTCAGTTGGTCGTCCTGTGCGGATAGATTAAAACGGTGACTCACAAGTTTTTGCGCCGTCTTAAGTACAACGTCGTTCACTGCTCCTTTATTGGACTATTTAAACAAGTAAATATTAATTACTAAGAGGAGATGAAATTTGGGTAATGCTTGTTACCATTCAGTTCAAATCCTTTTGTCTTCTCATCTGCTGTCTAAAAAGTAAAAATTAAAATATAGAAAACAGCAATTTTGCCTGCGATTTTAATGATTGTGAAACTTGGTCTCTGACATTAAGGGAAGAACATAGACTCAGGGTGTTTGACAACAGAGTGCTGAGGAGAATATCTGGACCAAAGAGGAATGAAATAATAGAAAGTTGAAGAAAAATTGCATATGAGGTGGTTGATAAATTGCATCTTTGTCAAATATAATTAGATTGACAGATCTAATGAGGATTTGATGGGAAAGGCATACAGCTGCATGGGAGAGGAGAGAAATGCATACAGAATCTTGGTGGGAAGTCCAGAAGAAATGAGACCCCCAGGATGAGTTAGACTTAGATGGGAGGATAATATTAAAATTGATCTTAGAGAAACAGGATGAAATGGTATGGATTGAATTCATGTGGCTCAGGAAAAGAATTAGTAGCAGGCTGTTGTGAACATGGCAATGAATCTTCGGGTTCAATTAAATGTTGAGAAATTCTTGAGTGACTGTGCGATTGGCAGCTCCTCAAGAAGCGATCCAAGGAGTTAGTTTCTCAGTATTTCTTAATAAGATGGAGTAAACGATTATTGAACATTATTCGTATGTAACTAATGTGTAAGTCGTTTGATTAAGAAATACACAGGCCCATTATTGCTAAACCAATCCTTCGACAACTGCAGGGGTTACGTTTCTGTACAATAACACGCCAAACGTTAAACCCACCGTTGGGAAACTGGGGGTTAGGTGAGACGCGGCCGCTGTTAACACTCATCAAAGACTAACCAAGCTTCTTGTTCCTTCATAGCCTAGAAAACATGAGTGAAAAAAAACAAACTCAGTGGTTTTAGTCTGCAAGCGAACTATGCCGACAGCAACCACCGCTTGTCAGCGAAGTTAGTGCCAACTTTAGCGGATAGTGGATGTCTTGTGTTCAGGGCACTGAATCCTCACAGCCGTCAATTTCGGTTTTCTATCAGAGTTGCTATTTCCTTGAAGTAGCTCCTCAATTATCTCCACGAGACTGATTGGACCCCGTTCCAGAACCACTAGTTCTCAGAAAATCTGGATGTGCAGCCAGAAACTCTGACCACTAGACCACAGTGGCGGTCTCCAGCCACTACTAGAACCAACAAAATGACTATAATAAATAAGTAGTGTGTTCAGGAAGGAAAGCCCTGACTTGTCAAAATGTACTCTGAATGATGGTGGAAATCAGGAGGCCTGTGTTGACAAATACGATGAAATGACAACTTTATTACATGGAAATCTGTACAGGAAAGGTTCATGGATGGCCTATATTTTAGTTCCAGCACAATTATATCAGTATTCAATATTTATTTTTTCTTGCTCATCTGCATTGTCACCAATGTTTTAGTGTTTAAATCACTCACTACAGCTCACTTATCCCTCTGATTACCTTATTTTAGGATATCTGCAATCTACATATCATTTGTGTTTATACATAATCCAAAAGACACAAAAAATATGTAATGATGTACCATTACAAATTATGTTCAAAACTGTCACACAGGAACCCAGAGAAAATATTCTTTACAATGATGACAGGAACAAATTCATTTACCAGCATGATCAACTGTAACCTGAGGTAACCTGATTAAGAACATTATTGCTTATACGTATTGTATGAGCAAAGGCATTCTCAATTATGCATAAGCTGATGTTGCCTGAGATTTGTTTGGCCTTCGAAGGCTTTGTTACACACATCACAAGAGTAGGGACATTCTCCAGTATGGACAATATGGTGTTGCTTCAGATTAGTCTGTTTTTTGAAAGCTTTCTTATAAACATCGCATGAGTACGATGTTCCCCTGTGTACACCCGCTGATGTTGCTTCAGATGACCTGGGTATTAAAAGCTTAGTTCCAAGGATCACATGAAAACAGAAGCTCTGCAGTGTGCGAATGCTCATGTCTCTTAAGATTACTCTGATCTTTAAAGGCCTTCTTACATATTCCACATGAGTATGGGCGTTGTCCGTTATGCACACGCATATGTTTGATGAGATCACTTCTTTTACTAGAGCCTTTTCCACACACATCACATGTGTATGGTCTCTCCCCTGTATGCACCCGCTGATGTTGCTTCAGAAGAGTCTGGACTTTAAAAGCTTTCTTACAAACATCGCATGGGTACGGACGTTCCCTTGTGTGCACCTGCTGATGTTGCTTCAGATGACCTTGGGAAGTAAAAGCTGTTACAGGCATCACATGAAAACAGAAACTCTACAGTGTGCAATAAGCTCATGTCTCTTAAGATCACTCTGACTACTAAAGGCCTTCTTACATATTCCACATGAGTATGGGCGTTGTCTGTTATGCACACGCATATGTCTGATGAGACCATTTCTTTGACTAAAGCCTTTTCCACACACATCACATGAGTATGGTCTCTCACCTGAATGCACACGCTGATGCCTCTTCAGATTAGCCTGGGTTTTAAAAGCTTTCTTACAAACATCGCATGAGTACGGGCATTCCCCAGTGTGCACCCGCTGATGTTGCTTCAGATGACTGTGGGTATTAAAAGCTTTCTTACAAACATCGCATGAGTACGGGCATTCCCCAGTGTGCACCCGCTGATGTTCCTTCAGATGACTGTGGGTATTAAAAGCTTTCTTACAAACATTGCACGAGTATGGGCGTTCACCTGTGTGCACCCGCTGATGTCGCTTCAGATGACTTTGGGTATTAAAAGCTTTGTTACAAACATCGCATGAGTACGGACATTCCCCTGTGTGCACGCGCTGATGTCGCTTCAGATGACTTTGGGTATTAAAAGCTTTGTTACAGGCATCACATGAAAACAGAAGCTCTGCAGTGTGCACATGCTCATGTCTCTTAAGATTACTCTGATCACTAAAGGCCTTCTTACATATTCCACATGAGTATGGGCGTTGTCCGTTATGCACACGCATATGTTTGATGAGATCACTATTTTTACTAAAGCCTTTTCCACACACATCACATGAGTATGGTCTCTCCCCTGTATGCACCCGCTGATGCCTCTTCAGATTAACATGAAGACTGAATGCATTTTCACAAATATCACAAGAGTATGGATGTTCTGCACTGTGTGCAGGTATATGCATCTTAAGTTCACTCTGATGACTAAACACTTTCTTACAGACTTCACAGGAGTATTTTGTTTTGTTAGATGCAAAGTACACCTTATGTGGTTCACTAGTATCAGCAGTTTGTGAATCAAATTTAACTTCCAATTCTTCATTTGTTGTCAGACTCTGAAAGAGGAGAGTGTTCTGTTATGAACTGTAGGTACTGCGTGGAAGCAAGTCTTAAATTAAGTTAACTGATCATGGAAGATGGAAATTTGTACTAAAGTGAAAATTCCCAGGCTTCAATCAAGGTCACTAACCTGGAATTTCACCATAAAAGTAACTGTGCATATGATAGTCAGTGAAGAAGTTTGAAGTACGAGCCTAATACTTCAATGTATAATCAATAGAGAGAAACAGTTTCAGAATCTGCATTATAAGGTATGTGACTGAAGACTTATAGCATTTCTGACAATTAACGACACAAAAAATTAAATGTCTGCCTTCAAAATATGTTAGATACTCAGCATGTCAAAAGACCTACTTATATAGAACATGAAGGTCCATTCATTCCTTGCTTACAAAAGCTGGGAAACAGATCCTCTCCTGAGCCAATTAGAAATCCAGTTACCACTATCACATCTTATGATCATTTTAATGTTATTATTTATTTGAAGTTTAAGTAATTTTCTTTATTGCTAGTGGGGTGGGACTAAGTCCCTTGTACTGTGGCCACTTCTAGCCTATTGTACCAGCCCCAGATGATAGGTGAGGGTGATTGTGGAGCAATTGGTGGAATAAAGACTGGCAGGGGAAACCAAAGTATTCGGAGAAACATGCCCCATCACTACTTTGTCCACAAATCCCACTTGACCAGACCAGGGATCGAACCTGGGGTGCCGCAATGGGAAGCCAGCGACTAACCGCTTGAGCTATGATGCGGCCTTGGAAGTTTAAGTAAGTAGTAATACTGTCAGAGCCCAGACAATGTAACATTGAATGATAATATGAATAGTGGTCAGGAAAGAACATGATTATGGCCTGTTTTATCAGATATCTATCAGGAGGAAATGTGGGAAATCTTGAAAGACCTCAATCAGAATACCTGATCTGCAAACCAAGATTCAAATTGGCCCCCTTCAGAATGCAAGTGAGAACACACGAGTCAACTTGCTTAGTCCTTCACCATCCTGTACAGCACATTACTGTCCCTTGTTTTTGAAAATGTTTGTGATTTTTCTGTACCATTATACATGCATTTTCTTACATTCACTTGAACCCAATACTAGTAGAAAATTACATCGGTGTTGTTATATGTGTTGAACATAATTTTAAATTTAGGTAACTTTCTCATTTAATAGTTAGTTAGATATTGGAGAGGGTGGGTTTCCCCATGCACCAAGACCAGTTTTGATCTATTGTGCTTCCTTCTATGATATTCTACCAGTCTCTATACCCTACCGATATTGGTGCATAGCATCAGCCCCGACCGAGCCAGCGAGTTCTCTACTGGCTTGGCGGTATCTATAATGCTTCCCCCATCAATCAGAGGCGTTAGAGACTACTGTTGGGCGGGAAACGTCCTTGAATTTGGCTCAGTGACCTCTTTTGGAGATATAAGGTTCTTTTACGTGCCGTAAAGCTACAACACGGGACTCACGGCTTAAAGTCCCTCCCGGAGGACTTGTTCATTGAATTTTTTCGCCCTTAAAAATTCCACGACCTCTGCCGGGTTTGAACCCACGTACCACGAGTCATGAGGTGGGAACGTTACCTCTAAACTACGGAGGCCACTTTCTCATTTAAAAAAAAAACACATAGAAGGGAAACAGGAGTAATCAATGTAGGAAAGAGGCTACCGTGGCCTCCTTTGGCATGGATACAAAGAACACCAAGCATACACAAGCTGTGATCCTTACAGTGCTTATATATATTTATAATATTCATTTAGACTACTTCTTTGTAAAGAAACACAATGAACAATGGGTCTGCAAACTCAGGGGCTTCTCAAACACCATGAATATAACAAAAAGGTATGTAGTGGGTAAACTTCACCCATGCATGAAACCACAAACAAAGAAACAATAATACAAAAATTACGGTTAATTTTCTTTGTTCCTAAATTAAGCGACTGTAAAACCAGTATGAATACAAACTACTAGAAACAGAGAGCTAAGAAAACTATTATCACTTTTTACTAAAACAGCCTCATAGGTATAAGTGTCATTATATGTTAAGTGCGACAGATTACTTTCTGAGCTGAGGTTCTCATCATGATTAATATAAAGTTTATGGTCTTCTAGTTTGGCACGTAGATACCTACCTAGCATGCTATACTGCATCACATTCCAGAAGACCGTAAACCTTTACTAGTTATATTGCACAGCACTGCTCTCCTCCTTAGTGCAAAGTCAGATAATTTCAGCATTACAAAAATGTAAGTTTACTGGCTCTGAACCACTCAAGTATTCAAATGCAGTCGCTATGTCACTTATAAAACCTGTGGGGTTATACTACTAGTGGTTATATTAGTATCGTCTGCAAAGAGAGTTGATATAGATTTATTCTTAACAAAATTTGGTAAGTCATTTATATTGAGAAGAAAGAGCAAAGAACCTATTATGGATCCTTGTGGGACGCCATGCTTTATTTACCATATTCAGAAATCACTCTCTTGGGAGTCACTAGTACTGACACACCACTGCAGGGAGCTAGTACTTCTAGCATGCCTACAGTAGGAGAAGGTCTGGGACACCTAGTCTCTGGAGTAAGTGGATTCTGTCTAGCAAAGAAGGCACTGTCCAGACAGAAACTTTAAAAGGCAAGAGCTAGGGCAAGTGAAGCAAGAACTGGGGGCATTCAGCAATCAGGAAATGCAGGCTCACCCAAGCAGAGAGAAACCCCTACCAAGACCCTTAAGAGGCCAAGGTCAGAGGGCAGTACACCCACAGAAACGGCCAGAGCTCCAAAAAGGCCCAGGGACGCTAAGGGACCAGGGATTTACAAGGAGGCTGTGACCAACATAAAGGTAGCTATCTTCATGGAAACATATCCTGAAGATAAGCTAACAGAAGATGACCAGAACTCCATTCGGGAAGTACTGGGAGGGTTGTTACATAGGACACCATTAGAAGAACTACCATACCTGAAGTCCTACAGACTGCAGGGAGAAACACTTTTTTATATACCTGTATGCGCCGACC